AAGTTTTAAAAAGTGTCGGTGGGCATTTGAAATTTGTATAGTTATATAGTAGTTGTATAAAGAGCGAAATACGCCACACAAGCGGCTTGTCAAACATTCTTCAAACCTACTTTTCCCATTTTGCCATACACCGTGGTAACATGACTCGTTCAAGCAAAGAATTTTAGCTTTCTTTCGTTGCACAATGTAAAAGGGTTCGGTTATCTTCGATTTTTCTCTCTTGCGTCCTTGTGTGGTGTTTTTTCACTCTTAAGCACATCTGCATTTACTGCTAAATATTCAAAATGTTATCGATAATTTTTTTCATTCCATCGTTATATTTTCAACTTATGTATTTAGAACTTGCAAAATCTCGGTAACGAATGCAGACAACACGCATTGTTCCATCATAAGATTATTCATATTGATTTTTCATTAATAATAATAATAGATTGGCGCTTACACATATGTTAGTGTTTGGCCAGCTTCTCCTCCGATTTGCGGCGTGCGCTTAGATGTTGTCACACAAAGCGGAGGGACCTACAGTTTAATGCCGACTCCGAACGGCGATTGTATTTTTTATGTGAAGCTGTTTTTCATGACAGAAATACACTCGGAAGTTTGCCATTGCCTGCCGAGGGATGACCGCTGTTAAGAAAAAATCTTTTTTTTTTATATATTTTGCGCTTTTGCTTTGGCCAGTGTTTGAAACCAGGTGCTGCGCAGTGGAAGCGGCCGATTTTTTCTTTGATTCTTCATTACATCCGGTAAATTATAGGAAAAAAGTTTTTGAATTAAAAGATTCTTCAGGTTCATATAAGTTTCCGAATTAAAAAAATTATATCTGCATTTCTAATATAGCCCTTTTCTAATGCTTCAGTAGAACGTATACTTAGTAGTTTGAAAATGTGTAGGACTGACTTGAGGGCCAGATTGAGCACTGATATAGTTGCAGCAATATTATATACAGTATATTTTGCTTTGCTGCCTTTATGCTTAAGTGCACATTTAAGATACCTACCCAAAATGCGCATCTGAGACATTATTTTTAACATTTATAAGGAAAGTGCTTCGATATATGCATTCAACATACCTGCCCATTGGCGATACCTGCCTTAAAAATTGTGCAACTAGTATCAATTGTCAAAGAAAGTATTACGTTTACCTGCACTGGCCCTATAATTACCTACAAGCTTTTATTTATTTTGCTCATATCGCAGAACAACGAAAATGGCTATCAATTTATGTAGTTATATAGATAATAAGATACCATTCGAAAAAAATTTCGCTTGCATTATTTTCTACGTGATAAGTGCTTCTCCATTATTTGGTTTCGTAGGGATTCGGATACCTTCCTCATTGAAGTAGTAAAGAAAATTCGCTTAAGTGCCTTTTTCGGTTAGGTGCACAAGTTTTTCGTGCAAAGAAGGATGTGCAGCTAAGCAAAATATACTGTACTAACCAAGGCATACAAAACAACGGTGATACTTTGTTTGAAACGCAAGAAAAATTGTACCAATTGAATTGCAGAACGTAATTAATTTTTATATTAAGTACCTGTAAATTGTAAGCAGTACACAATACTCATATCTGCAAAAAGAAAACTTTGAGTAATTTGTTTGTTTATTTGTTTTTGAGGAATTTAGTAATTTTTTTGCGGCAACACTGTTGCTATTACTCCACCAAAGTAACAGGCTTACCTAATATTCACGCACGCCGCCGATCTGCTGTCAAAAATTTCTCACGCACGTACAAGTTGTATGGGGCCAAGTGAAATTGAGCGGCGTGCGTATGAAGCTAACTCAATTTCCAATTTTTGTTCTGCGATGAAATCAAATGCAAACGCACGCAAGCCAATTTCGGGTGACGCAAAAAAACAAATTTGACGGGGTATGTACCAAAACTGTACGTACACTATTTGCTCTCTTCGCGTACGAGAGATATTTGCTACTGCCAAAAGGGAGTAGCAATTCTACTTTCTGTATACATGTAGTACTGTAAGTACTTGCGTATTTTTCATTTCTGGTTGTTAGCCTACTAGTTGATATTGTTTTCGGCGTTGGTCAGTGAAATTGAAAGAGTAAAAATAGAATATGGAAATTGAGGATGTAAAGAAATGTTTACGGCCTTATTTATAGAAAGTTAAAAGTAACGTAGATTTAAACAGTTGTGTAATGTGACATTTTTATAAAACTTTTGTATTTAAAGAGCTTTTTAAATCTATATGCATATGCACTTTATTTTTTATGAATGTTTTATTTCTGGTTTCTAAATTGGTAGAAATCTGTATTTATTTAAAGATATTTGCAGTCATTAACCAACAAATAAGTTGTCAAAAACAACAACTTAAGCAATGCTGCTATAAATAAATAAAATTATTAGAAATTAGGCAAATTAAAAATTTCAAAAGTTATTGGGAAAAGTAAAGTCTGAAAAAGTGAAAGTAAAGTAAAGTAAATATGTGTCTTTATTTAATATGTTTCCAATTCGAATTTCTTATTATGTATTAACAGCTATGTTTCCTTTGATGAGGATTGTCCTTTTCAAGTATATAAGTGGATGCAGTGATGATATTTAAAAAAAATTTCAATGAGAATATTATTACATATTTCCTAATCGTACATAATCGTTATATTTAAAAGGCGTTTACA